ATGAATGGTGAAAACTTTCGAGATTTATTCAGATTTAGCCGAATTCGCGGCAAGGACCATTTCTTTGATGAGTCCACTTCATTAATCAGACCGCGTCTGAGCATTCCACATCAATTTTAACCTCAGTGGATACCCTACCCCCTACCCCCTACCCCCCACGATTGTGTTATAAAAGATGTCTATGTTGATTGTGGTATTGACGGTACTGCGAGTATTCTGGCGACTAAAAGACTAAAAGTTAATAGCAGTCGAAATTTAGCGATCCTCAATTCTTTCCAACTGGTTGTGGGCGTTTGGTTTCGATTTAAAGCATCTGCGATATAGACGAAAGTCAACAATGGCTCAAGTTTTTTGTGTCTGGTGATTGATATCGCTACGTAATGTTTTGCCTCTGGTGACGCAGAAAAACTGCTTTTGATCTTTTCGTGTTTAAGTGGGCATATATGTCGTGGATTTTCCTTGACATGTGGTAGAGAGGCGATCGCTCTGAACAGCGATCGTAACACTTGGCTGACGATCATCAGTCCTTCAGCGGGTGGAACTTGCTGCAGTAACTGCACTGATCGTACCTCAGTAACATTTGGAGTGGACATGCGTACTGGCTGCACTATCAGGTCATTTTATGATGCCTTCTGTTTGCTATAAAGATTTACATCCTTCTTTTTCTGTTCTAGTTGTAGGCTCAGAATCTCTGTGCCATCTACCGATTATGGCCGGTATACATATCACTTCTTGAATCAGAGGCGCGAAATCTGTATCCCAGGTACTGGGGATGTTTGGGATTTCGGAAGAGGACTTGACAACCGAATCTTTCCGCGGAATTTCCAAAAGTTTTCAGATTTGTAATAATATTAAGAAATTCATCTTCAGTGAACTCGTTTAAAAAATCAGAGGTTTGTGGGAAAGTAAAATTATTACTGTGTATTAATTTTGTTGATGTGTGGAGCACAATCACAGGTAACTTTGTGACACGTTGAACTGAAAAAAGTGCTTTGTGCTTTTCCTAGGCGCTGTAGATATGGATCTTTTTCTTCTGCAGGGTTTAATTTAAATATAAAATGCTTCAGCTAGTGATTCTCAAGTGATTTCTTGATGTCAAAACTCGCCAGAAGTAGTTACATTGTGCTGCCGGTCGTCGCACATGTGTCTTATACTTCTGCACCAAAATTCCATATTGAATCAGTTTTCAACGAAGAATATTTTTGTCAAATTTATCAACGAGGTTCAAGTTGATATGTGACTGAGGTTTTCGACTGCAGGCGTGAACATTAGCGGGTACAGCTCGTATAATTATCATAGGTATTTGACATGATTCTGTGACGGAGGAAAGGTAAGTTTGGGAGGAAATTTTTGCAGAAGGCAGCATAAGAGTCGATGGATCTTAATGACGTACTTTATATCGTTTTATTTCCAGGATCCCTCAGGGATCACAGTTGCAGTGCAAGTTGCTTCAAGAAACGGCGTACAACACATTGTTAGGAGACCAACCCACTCATGTGGCCTCTTTCGGAAACTCAGACGTGAACAGTGTGGGAGACTGGGTCGAGATTCTTAACACCAGGCCCTCGGACGAGGTAGAGTGAACAACGTTATTTACCGTCACTGGTGTTGTTGTCATTGATTCTGTTTGAGATGATTTATTCCCTTTGCTAACTTTCCACCTTCAGCCTGTACAAGGAGACAGTGAGTGTCGGAACATGAGATTGGGACTTCACATCGAGGTTTTGTTTGCAAATTTTGGTTTCCTAGCCAAGCCTCAACCGCGGGTAAGAAATGTTTTGTATATATTTGCCGACCATCTTTTTCGAGCTTGCGAATACAACCAACGGGAGACGCTATATTTGCAAGATACTGTTATCTATTTTCCACTATGCATCATAGGCTACAGGTTATTTAAAACAGTTTGTTCCACGATGTTACACCCAAAGTACCCATTTGTGGTGATGGTACGACCGCCCAAAGGCTCCTTTGTATTCTGAGCTAAAACCGATTCATGCAATATTAAGGATGTGGTCTTCTCGAAAGCGTCGCAAAACTGGTACAATGTGATGTCTCATCAGACCTTTAATATTTGCCTCCGGTACTTGGGCATTCTTGCTCCGTTTTGATACGACAAAGACAAATAAACTCGGTAGGTGTAACGTCAACACCAGAATGGGGATTTACTGTGGAGGAACTCACGGCCGGGGAAAGATAGTATAGATTGCAACTTTGTCTTGGTTTTGTTTTCAGGTCGTGGGAGTTATGTATAAGTATGACGAACCGAAAGATATACAGTATCAGGTAAGATCGCTGTCCTCTAATTGTTTTCAAATCTGTAAGTACAAATTAATTTATTGAGGAATTGATGGAATAACCGAGTAAATGACCGAGAAAGATGGTTAGCTGAAAAAATTATGTACCATTAGGTTTTAGAAGGTAGATTGCAGTTTATACATTTAAACTGCCTGAAGCGTGGGCAAACGTAAGGTATCAAGTCGCCATTACTTTTAGTTTACTGAAATCTGATTCGTTGAGAAAATGACGCGAGTTTTGAGGACTAATCACGAAGGAAGACAAATCGAAGCAATCCCAGATTACTTTCGGCACTCAATTGAAATTTTACATCAAGGCTTTCAGAGCATCAAACCTTTATGTCATCTTGCAATTTTCTTCTGCAGTGCAGCGGAATAAACTGTCAACCTGGTAGCTCCAGCCTCGAGCAAAAAGTGGAGGTCGTCTCTTCAGTCGGCTTCGTTGATGTCTCCAATCGACCAGAACCGCAAGTGAAACCTCTACCTACATTTGAAGCCAAAGCAGCGTCCGATTTCTTTTTTCCCTTCTTTTGACCCGATCGCTTTACTGTCTAACCAACCTTGTTAGAATAACTCGTAGGCCGAAACGGAGTTTCGTCGAATTCGTCTGAAGTGAATTTCATTGCGACTGTCTCGAGCTTGTGGATTGTTTCAGCGTTCACGACGAGTGTTCGGGGATTCCCACCAAAAGACCAGCGTCTCAGAGGTTGCATGGCAACGGAGAGACAAATCTGATGAACGGCTCAGTTTGTAGCTCAGTCAAGTCTAACTAACAGGAGTCTACGGTGAGTGGAAGGTATCATGGAAGGAAAAAATAGTTATTTTTTTCTTGAAAACAAGGATTCAGTTGGTGCGACAAGCTGGTTCGAAACAGTAGGGAAACGATGTGCCAGGACTTACCACATGCTCGACAAATCAGTATAATAAACGTGACGGATTGGGGGGGAAGAGGAAGCGGTAAATCAGACGTTAACATTGGAAACAAAACTGAAATGCAGAGAACATGTTGAAGTGTATTTGCCGACTGGTTTTGTGGGACATCACCAGGTCTGATCAGTAGCAAAAGTTTTATTTATTGAAATGCAAACTTCAAGTGACTGAAGTTACACTGCTGTATTGTAATTACTGCAAGGTTTGTTGTTCACACCTGACTACATTTTCTTCCCAAGAAAAGGTTTGCACCTAAGCGTATATCATTTTAATTACAAGGACAATTTGTAAACGTGTGTTAAAAGAAATACGTCGCATCCTCTGCATCTCTTTGTAAAACGGTAAAATGGATTTAATCCGCGACAACTGTTGCTTAACAATAGTGAAAATGAAAATAAAAAGTAATTTACTCAAATACAAGTGTTTGCGGTTAGAAATTTTGGCTAAATGTAATTGCTTGGATCATCCTCTGTCGTTTCACTGGCCTCAGTGATGAATGTCACTGGTAAAACGGGAACCTTTGCCTCCATTGATGATTTGCCAGGATTATTGTTGTATTCCCGTGTGGGAGTTCCGGCTAGATTTCGCTAGGAAGGAAGCGGATGCTATAAATAACACTAACACGGATACGGCAAGAACTGAAGGGGAAAAAAAACAGGAAAGACCATACTCTTAAGACAAATATCAGTCAAATGCTCACTGCGCAGGATTATAGCGTGTCAGTATTGTCCGCATTTAGTTTTAATTTGTTGGGGTTCGTAGTTGAATTGTATCATGATCAAAATATTGTACTTAGTAGATGTTCGCTTAAAACCAGAGTTTGAAAACAGAATGCCTAAAACTAATCTCAAGGCAAAGACGCTCGTCCCTCACTAGAAGCCTCTGATTCCCAAAGTACATTTTAGCGGAGGCTTGGTAAATTTGTAAAGTTATTATGTTATATTATTATGTTATATTTAACACTGAATTATTCCACAAGCGCGCGTTGGATATGAGATGATAGATAGCCAACGAGGCGCGTAGCGCCGAGTTGGCCATAATCATCTCATATCCAACCAGCGCAAGTGGAATAATGGCTCATATACCATAATGGCTAAGCCAATATAAAGTCTTGAATTGCATTATCCAATGATCCAGTTTTTAATAATATTTGTTATTTTTAAAGTATATTATTTTATGACTAACCTCCTGCTCCTTATTTGTCTTCAGTCGATCCTTTTGCCCTTCCATGACAGAGATCTTAACAATCTGTTGCATTTTTTCTTCAAGGTCAAGTCTTCGCCTAACTTCCTCCTCAAGAGAAATCCTCAAGTCGCGGACCCTTTCGGTCAGTCGACTCCGTTCTTCGGTGAAGGACTCCGAATTGACCATCATCTTTCGTTCTTTTTCTTGGAGCTCCTGTTCTAGTTTCTCTTTTGTATTTTCTAGCAGGAATACTTTTGTGACCAGGTTGTTTCCTTCCTGCTGGTGTCGTTTCAAGTCTTTTGCTGTGGCAGCGAATTCGTTTCTTATCTTCATGATGTTCTTATCAGCCTCGGATCTTTCCTTGCTCAGCTCAGTCTGTAAGTCATCATTAACTTTTTGAAGACAAGAAATTTTTGTCTCGAGAACCACGCGCATTTCTTCCAAGCAAGCAAGACCTTCTTGTCTATCTTCTAGCTTCTGATGCAGTTGTTTAATCTTCTCCTCAGCTCCTTTGAGAGACTCTTCTAGACCGCTCTTACAACGTTGAAGCTCCTCGCATAATGTACTCTCCTCACTAAGTTGCTTATGCAACCAGCTGTTCTCTTCTTGTAAGTGTTGGCTTTCTCTTTCAAAGTGTTCTTGCATTCGTTGGCATTTTCGTTTCCATCCTTCCAATTCCCGCTTAACTTCAGCTTTCTTTGTAGTTGGTGATAACCCCTCCACGCCAAATCGTAGCTTCAATAAATCTATTTCTTCCTGAAGCCGGCTGTTCTCAGTCATCAAGACATCTTCTGACTCTTTATACTGCTCTAGAGTTTCTTCTTTCCCCTTCAAAGTAACCTTTAGCTCAGCATAACGTTCAAAGAATTTTTCAGCATCTCCATTAGCTTTTACCCTGTCCATAAGAGCGGCCTCTCTCAGGGTGTTCTGTCTTTCTTGGAAAATCTTCAGTTGACCATTCAAGTACGTAATCCTTTCTCCTGCCCTGTGAAGCTCTTCATGGACATCACGATCGATCAAGCCCTTCAGATATTCGTTATCTTTTCGAACGCTACTGAGCTCTTCCACTAGTTCAGCTGACTTCTGATTTAGCCTAATAACCTCTTCAGAACTACAATGTTCAAGGTCTGTAAGGACGTCTTTCAAAATTGTCCGCACTTCGTGTTTTCCCATCTGAGGCAAAACTATATCCGTGTTAAGGTTGTTGATCAGTAAAAGGGGTTCAGGTTGTAATAAAATTTTTTCCTTAGACTCGATAACTTTCTGCAGAGATTCCCTTAATTGCCTGGCTTCTTCAGTGATTATTTCTTTCAGTGTAGCGTCATCTTGTAACTGTTCTCTGAGCGTCGCCACTGTTAGCATCAAATCGGCGTTTTCCTTCTCTGCTTTTCCAGACGACGACTCAAATTTTCGCAGCTCCTTATCCTTCTTTTTGGAAATCTCAAGTAAGGACTGAATGTCCTTATTTATCATCGTGTAAGCACTTCTGGTCTTGTTATGAATTGCCTCTAAGGCCTTCTTCATTTCCACGCTCTCACGAACATTTCTCGTTGTTTCTTCGCGCAGTTGATTTGTGATGTTTCCATGAGTCTGCAATTGAGATCTTTCCCTTTGCAGCTCGTCACTCAGAGACGCTACTTCTTGCTGGAGTTCATCCTTATCACGTTGGACTGCCATTAAAATACTTCGTAATCGTTGTTCACATTCAGCCATTGCAGATGTATCACCCACTGCCTCGTTTTCTTTACCTACCGTTTCTCGGCCTTCTTCCATGTCTCCATTTTTGTTTGCTTTTAGATTTAGAGAGTACGAGCTTAAACGTTTGCTTATGGCTTTAGGTATTATCCTTCTTCTCGCCAGCCCTTTGCCTTTCTGCCTTCTTACAACACTTTGCAAATCAGAGGAGCTTGGAGAGGCTGATCTAGACGCTGCGCAACTTGCACTGTCTTCACCGATCATTGGCAGTTGGGATATGGTGGATTGTTCATCAAAGCCTCTGCCTTCCTTTGATGCGAACTCAGATTTCTCGTTTGACGTAATCACTGAAATTTCAAGTTCCTTTTTATCCCTCATCTCTTCGACAAGATCATCTTTAAGAGCACGCGACAATGTTTTCAACCTACGGTTATTTTTTATCAAGGTACTTGACCTTTCTTTGTAGGCGTCCACTTCTCCTTTGAGAATACTGTTTTCTTCACAAAGTGCTTCGATTCGTGCAGCATACTCTTGTAAGTCTCTAGCATTTCTCTCAAGAGTATATTCAACAAGTCTCTCCAGTTCTTTGAAACTATCGTCAAGTGATGCTCGATGCTCATCTGCTGTGTGAACAGTTGTTTCTTGCCTAGCCTCCTCTATATTTTCCTCGTTCTTACATGAGGTTTTCATCTGAATAACTTCTCCCAAGGCTTGCTGCAGGGACGACTGCAAATATTGCTCGGTTTCCTTCGCATTTTTTAGGTTTTTCTTATCAATTTGGCGTTCTTGCATTACTGTTTCGAGCTTTAATTCCAAGCTTTTGATTTTCTCTTGCAAAACTGCTATGGCTGACTCATGCGACTGAGCTTCTTGCTTCCTTGTTTTTATTTCGTCGTAAAGTTCTCGTGCAGTGAGATACAGCTTCTCTTCCTTTTTCTTCCCTTGCTCAAGTAACCCTTTCAGTGATTTTTCGCCTTCTTCGAGAGAATTAATATAAATTTCTGACCTTTTGATGTCTTCCTTCAGTAGATCACAGTATTCTTGGAGGTCGCTCTTGTCTTGTTTTGCTTTATGCAAACTTTCCTGAAGGTCTTTTACTTCATCCCAAAGTGTGGCCAGTTCCTTTTCACTTTTCCTTTGGTAATCCTCAAGTGCTCGTTCCTTACTTCTCAAAAGTTTTTGTAAAACCTCGTCCGTGCATTTACCTCTGCTCTCACAACCTTCTCTCTCAGCTTTGAGCTGCTCTTTTTTCTTTTCAGTTTCTTGAAGTTGCTCTTTCAGAATTTCTAGTTCTATGTCCTTGTCCTCGATAGCCTTGCTCAACGAGAACTTAGTCTCTTCGATCTTTGCGTTTTTCTTTTCGAGTTCTTCTGAAATTTCTCCATGGTCCTCTCTAACTTTTTCAAGGAGCGCTCTCAGATCGACTATTTTCTTTTCCAGAGAGGCTTTAACTCGAGAAAGCTCTTCATTTTCTTGTGTAGTACACCTGTTACTGGAGAGGACGTCCTCGATTTTGTTCAATATAACGTCCGTTGCCTTGGTACTTGAGGTAATTCCTTGTGTCCGTGTTGTTTGATTTTCTCCCTTCTCCTGGACACAGAATTTGACCCAAAGACGATGTATCTTACCCTGGGTAAAGCAGTGAGCTTCCTCTACTTCTTGTAAATGGCTAAGTTGTCGGGCATTTTGCTCTTCTAAATCAACTATCTTTGCATTTTGTTGATAAAAAGACTGTGCAATGTTGTTCAGAAGTACCATGGTCTCTTCTTCCTCATCGAATCCATTCTTAAGGTCACAACCAGCATTTACTTTTTGCCACAGATCTGCGATGTGTGCTGTAAAGCTTTCCAAAGCCATTCTTAGATCGTGGTTTTGTTGCTGTAAATCGATCATCGTCACCTCCGCGCTAGTGTCATCCTCCAAGCTTTCTCCACTGTCGTTTCGTTCCTCAGAACTGCTTATATCTGAGCTTTCTCCCACTATAGAGTAAGGTGACAGATTAAGAGCAGTAGCCCTTTCCTTAGGTTCATTGCAATTTGACAAGACACCCGTGATTTGACCTATGTGACTTGCACTCGTTTTTTTTCGAGATTTCCGAGTATTCTGAAGTTCTAATGATTTGTGGTGGAGCTTCTGGTTTTCCCTCTCCGTCTCTCTCTTCACCCTGCATAGCTGCTGATTTAGATTTACAAGCTGTTCTTGAAACTCTTCTTTCTGGGTTTTCAAAGACTGAACCAGACTTTCAAGTTCCTCAGAATGTCCCGATTCCTGCCTCAAATCATCAATCAAGCATCTCTCCCGCTCTAAGGAAGTCTGTCTTTGGTTGTGCAACTCAGCTTCCTTAACCCAGAGTTTTTGTAAGGCAGTCTGAACGCCACGCTCTAGTTCTTCCTTCGCTGAAGTAATTTCTTGAAGTTCTTGAAATTTGTCTTCGACCAATCTCTGTAACTTACCAAGATTGCGATGGTAGTCTGACTCTTTAAAATCCATTTCCAACCTGGGCATGGAATTTTCTCTGTAGTCATTACCAGTTTTTCTGCCCTCCTCATCCATAAATCCCTGCAAAAATTACTTAAACGTCAGCGGTATAAAATTTCAATTTGTTTCCTATCAAAATTATGATAAACATTTTGCGCCACCATTACCTTGTTCGGTTGTCAGACCATTTCGCCGCAGTAATTACTAGATCGCATAGATGGCCATGGGGAAGGGAGAGTCCATGTATTGCTTTATGAATTATGAGTAAAACCCGAAGAGGTAGTGACAAAAATTTGCTGGTAACCACTGTAATTAGGAAGGATTATAGAAATAATGACTTTACCTGGTAACGGGGGCCATCTTCGCCTAGTTCATCTACTCTCTTGATTTCCAGTTCATCCCCTTCAATGTCCTCAGGGGAATTGAAAGGCTGAAGAAAACAGTCATAATTGTTAAAATCAGCTACTAGGGAGATCGCGGTATCTAAATCCTCGGCCTCGTTTTGTTCTTCGTGTTCACACGAGTGTGTAACATCGTCCATTTTCACATTTTAACTCCGCTAAATGGGAAAAGATGATTAAAGGAAATAAATAAATAAATAAAGGGTTAAGAGGCTAAGACGAGGGGCTCCCACAAGGCAAAAGAACTTATTTGTAGGACTAAAGTCCTCTCACCTGGATGACTAGATCTAAACAGTTAACCCTTGACCCCCTAAATGTGACTAACATCTAATTTCTCCTTACATTATCACGCTGAATCAAACATTAAGGTCTGGAGAATAACGGAAATGATCACTAAATAAAGAAGCTCTTGATTGTTAAATAAATTCTCCTTGTTTGCAGCTCAAGAAATGTTATGAGAACAGTATGGAGAATATGCCTACTGCTACTGATGTCGTAGTGTAAAGGGTTTAAATTAATACTCTCGAGTTCAAATCATCTTCTGTACCATTTTAGCTCGTTAAGCTACAGTAATGACTTTCCAAGTACCAGTAATCAGCTGAATATCGGTGACCACTGTAAGTTAGGACAACCTCAGGCTCGTATATATGTAGCCAAGGATACGAGCGTTTTCTTCTCCCGAGGAGTTTTTGCAAAAATTTGCCCGAAATCGTTGACCATTATCTTCTGGTTTTGAAGACGCAGCCGCGAAAAATATCTTAACCTCTTTTTCGACAAGGAATTTTACCTGTATTCGCAATCCTCAATGATATAAATCGCGGGTGAATGTCAATGAAACTTTCCTTTATCAGGACGCTCAAATCTGCCTTGACGTCCTTTTCCGCCTTTGTGACGAAGTAGATTCCAGTCCCTCGAGCGGTTTGTCACCGGAGAAACCAGCTCCCGCGCGCAATATTCAAATGACGTCTTCCAAGGTAAACATTTCTGACGTGGAATTTTATTCACGTATATATAATAGAAATTTTCATGAAAGTGAAAGTCTTTTTAGAGAATCGGAGATTATTCTAGGTAACTTCTGAAGGCAAACATGGAACAGGTTCGATTGTCAATGATTTGCCATTCTCGTTCTCGAGGAGGCAATTTCTCAGCCAGAAAAGCTTTAATGACCCGCGTGAGTTGTTATGCAAATTAAATTAATTGATCATTCAGCCCAAACGACAAATATTGCAAGAAACGGTTGTGGAACTTTTTGTTTAGACATGTAGTATGGCTCATGAACTGCGGTTATTTTGGCTCGTTTTACGTGTTTGGCATGTGTCTTCTTTATGTCTTCACTTCCAAAGCTCCTTTTGCGTAGCTGAACGTGTGTTGGACTCACAGAAGGCGAGCGTCCACAATCAAAACAACAGGTCGGCAGGTACGTGCATCGATTACAAGCGATTGTACGATCTCTACGGTTTGTTGAAATTACAGAAAGTTAATTATCGTGACATCATTCTGTTTTATACGAAGGAAAGTATCAATAGCGAACGATCTTCGGGATCGAAGTATTTTGAAATGTTTTGCCCGTGAAAAGGCTGCTCTCTTAAAAAAAAAAAAAAAGCAGATCGCGTGCGTTGTTTTCCAATTCGTCGTTTCTTCCGCCTTTCATTTAGTTCGAGAAAGGAGAATGAAGTATTCTTCGGTCAAAGGGGCTCCAAGTCGATGGTGTTGTAGTTAAAGCACAGAATTTTCAAGATACAACGATTTTTAGAAATAATAATTGTTAAAACAGGTAGGTATAGATTAACTAAGTTGGAAAATGCCGAATGGTTAATTGACAATACGCTGTGTGATATTTAAGAAGCTCACACAGAACTAATTGGACACCATTGCTTTATTTCTGATTTCAAAAGTTTTAAGCTAGATTTCAGAGGCCTAATGTAAAGCTTTTCAAGAAGTTACCGTTTGTGTTGATAGGTAGCGTTATATACTGGAAAGACTTCGTCTCAACTGTCAAAATACTCAATGATCATAATAAGTCGTGCTGTAAAAAGACCAGTATTGGAGCCCTTTTGAATGGGAAGCACCTGCTTGGTTGTTTGGCCATGGTGTTTATATTTCTAAGTCGTGAAATAGTAACCCTCCTCCCAAGATTTTATGGTTGATTCTTGCCTCATGCTGCTAATACACATTTCCTTGCGAATTAATCGTGACAATTCAGTGTTAGATCAAGAAAACAACTTCTAACTGATTAGTTTGAGTGCTCGTGGTCTTATCATCTGTTTGCTGAGTAATTTATATACCTGAAGCGCAAGGGCCGTACTGGGAGAATATCGGCCCGAGGTCTTGACGGTACGGACCAAGCGCAGCGAGGTCCGTACAAAAAAGACTAAGCGCCGATATTCTTCCGGTACGTTCGCAAGCAAGCTTGGTTAATAAGAGATTTATTATACGACTGAAGTTCAAAGGGACACAAGTGCGGTATCATTCGGGACCATTTGGGACAGTGCCCAGTCCAATACTGAGAGAATATTGACCAGCAATAGAGCATTTTGATTGGTTGATTTAAGTTATTGGCCATCTGACTGCCCGAGTCGTGTAATAAGTATGGTTATTATAGATAGAGATTATGTGTTGATAATAATAATAATAAATTTACCAATGTGTCAAGGTAATAGCAGTTGCCCACTAACTGACTAAGTAAGGACACCTATCTACAATGTTGATAAAGATAAATAATCCCCCTACATTCCCCAAAATCCCACCCTATGTATAAACATGAAAAATACAAATTAATATAAGATTACAATAAAGTATCTCTACTGAAGGTATTAACTTATTAATACCTTTAGGAAAGATACTTATTTACTTATTAATACCTTTAATTATTAACTACTTTTGAGAATTACAAAGAGTGCGGTTAATGCAATTATATGAGGAAATTTGTTTAGCAAAGTCTATTTTCCTGATTGCTCTTTTAAATCCATCTTTAGTAATAAGTTCTGTTATTTTACTGTCTTTGACTTCCGGGAGTAATTAAGAGGGTAAGGAAATTATAGGAATAGTTGTGGGACATCCATTGTTTGTAAATATTAAGCTTTGTAATATCTGGATGGGGGATATTCAGTTTATTTTAGAGCCCAAGTTTTTCTTTCATCAAGTGTGTGTGTGTTTGAGAGTGGTTCTCTAACTAGCTTTTAGAAAATGTGATAGTTTCTAACTATTTTACAAACTAGTGAATAACAATTACCTAATGAGAACTCAGGGCTGGGGAAATTACTTTTGCTGTATTGAATTCCAAGAATATTCCTTTCTGTGAGTCCAACCATGGCTAGGATTAAGAAAGAAAATCCAAATACTAAGAAGGGAATATTTCATGTTCTCACTGTGGATAACTTTCCATTTTTTTTGCAAAGCAGTACGTGGTTTCACTTGATAGCTACAGATATTACGACAACTTTGCAACACCAAAAACAACATTCTATTGGTAATCTACCTTTAAGGTCATATCATGATTTTGAGTGCAATTTAAAATTTGTTTTAAAATTAGCACAAATAATTTTTCAATTCAAGAAAATTTCAGGCTCGTGCTTATCTATACCAAACTGCATGAGAAATCATATGGTTACTTGTCAATAATTTAAATGAAAAAGGCATTGATCAGAGAAAGTCAAGAAAGACAAAATTTGACAGCCTGTACACTATTACAATAGAGTGTTTCTGTCCAAGAACTATCGGCTGATAGTTGCCCCGCGGAAAGTTGATGTTCTTAAAACAAATATACTAGTTTTAAGAACATCAAATTTCCAAGGGGCAACTATCAGACTGATAGTTCCGAAACATAAACACTCTATTGTTTTTATTGTTCACCACTAAATTTTCTTCCGCGCCTACAGCTTGTCACAAATGTCAATAATTCGCAACCGTAGATTGGCTTAAATAATACGTTATACCTGTCAGAATTGAAAAGTCACTGTTTTTCCAATCTGCCTAACTTCGCGACAGTCAAACTATTCAAAACTTTTCACGGATGAGTACTATCAATCCAGGTATTTTCTGCAGATGGGCACTATCCATCTGGGTATTTTCCGCGGGCGGGTACTATGGGCTGATAGTGTCTCTCCACGGATGAACACTATCGCGTCATGTGATCGATTTAAACCAATAAGAACCAGAGAAAATTTAGTGGTGAACTATAATTTGTGATATTGCACTTGAGATAATAACATTCCACTCAAAAATGCACTTTTTTTCAGCCAATCAGATTCACATAATTTTTTAATGCATATTACAAGCAAACTTACATGTCCCACAATTATCGTAATAGCCATTTTAAAAGTATCTGATTTTTCCCAATAGTGTCACCCCTAAATTAAATGTTAAGGTCCTGAGAATGAAGAATATGATTGTAATGTCAGGAAGCTCTTAATTGTTAGACAAATTTGCAATGTAAGTTTCATAGGAAACTTATAAATAACAGTATGGAGACAGGTTGCAGACTGAATTTTGTTAACTAGGGTATATTGGTTAAAAAATGGTCAGTGTTAGGGCAAAATCCCCTAAAATTGTTTCCATTTTTTTCACTTGTCATTGTGTACTTTTTCTTGCTCCTCGGTATTTTGTTAGTTACGCTCCTTTATGTTTACTTATTGGCTGTGTGTAAATTTAGTTAATATTATATAATAGTTTTGCTGTCTCGCACTTTCATGCGACCAGAGTTTTTTGTGTGTCTATCCATAATCATTGTATATAGACTGAAGTAGATTTTCCCTTTTCTTGGTTTCCCGAACTACTAACCCCAGTTATCCTCAGAGGCTTCACTTTGATCATTTTCTTTAATTTTGTTTTGCAGTGGCCTTTAGGTTATAGTTTGTTTGTGTTGTGTTATTATTATTTTTTCGCTCTTGTAGGAATTTACTTCTTTCTGACATTATTGTAAAACATTTGTTGAGGCATCGTGTTGTTGTTGTTTTCTTCTTTTTTCTTTTTGAAGACAGGCCCTTGCCTGTTCAAATGGAATGTACAAAGATGTATCAAATTCAGTAGAATGATATAATCATTTCTCATTATTTCTAGGGTTATATTTAGAAACTTCAAATGATTTAACAATCAGAGTGGGAGAACTGCTCCAGTTGAACTGCAGTCTAATCGGAGCAGCCAATTCCTCTCAGTTATCCTGGTGCCATGGAAATCAGATTTTATCCAATCTCACAAGAAAACTGAGCAATAAAACCATCCAGTTAGTAATAGAACAGGTGGACTGGATTGATAGTGGAAGCTATGTGTGTAAAGAAATAAGAAGAAATAATGCAGTTCAACCCAAGTCTGTCACAGTGACAGTTGGTGGTGAGTAAAAACTGCATCATCATATCATTTTGCTGTGTGCTGGGCTCAATGATACATTATGCAAGAACTATGCTTGGTAAATTAAATACAAATTTTTCTATAGAAAGCCTTGGTAGGTACAGGAGGTTATTTTGATGTGGCAGTCAATAGTTAGTTGATTCTTGGTCAACAATCTGCCACTGTAATTAACAATTATTCCACCAGCAAGCGTTGGATATGAGGTGGCTATAATTATCATCTCATAGCCAACAAGCGTGAGTGGAATAACTGTTTTATTAAAAAAAAAATGCCCCCAAGATATTAGACAAATCTTCTCGACTTTATTTTGTAAAAGGAAACCGGATGTTACAGTGTACAGATATTAGATTACAGTATATTGGCTCATATACCATAGTGGCTAAGCCTATAAAAAGTTTTGAATTGCATTATCCAATTATCCAGCTTTTAATACTAATTATTATGCATTTGATGGACCAAACGACAGGTTGGAAATGGTTATAACCATAGTGCAACCAGATGAACTTTTAAAGGCTTGTGACATCTAAGGTTTCAATCACACAAACAGTTGCACAATGAGAAACGAGGATAAAATTTGAATCAAGTTAATGAATGAAGCACGCTGTATATTTAAATAGCATGTTACATGCACAAACATAATATGTTTTATACACTGTATGCTCTTCTAGATATCCCCAGTCCACCTCGAGATTTGTGGATAAACAATGTGGAATTTAAAACTCGTATTCACTGGAAGGTTCCACTGTACGAGGGAGGATTAACATTAAAGTATGCTGTCAAAGGAAAATGTGCATTTAACACATCAAATATAAGTCCTGATCAGCTTTGGGAGTGTAAAGAAGAATTTATAACACTATGTGAAGGTGCCTATAGTATCAAGCAAGAACTAGGACCAGCATCTGATAGTTTCTTTTGTGAAGTTTATGAGATCCTTAACTTCTCAAACTATACTGCTTATGTTGAGGCCATTAATGACTTGGGAACTGGTGTGAGCAATCCTGTGAAATTTATTAGGAACATCGATATGGATCCACTTTTAAGTGAGTACTACTTGCAGTTATTGCTATCAATGTAATCTCTATAGACCACTTTCATAAATGGCCGCTGGATTAATAATCTTTTGTTTAAATTTAAATTAGCCCTACTGGCCTGGCTTGAGATAGTGTTTTTTTTTTAATTTTGTACTGGAGAACGAGGCCAGAAGGGCTAATTTAAATTTAAACAAAAGAATATTAATCCGGCAGCCATTTATGAAAGAGGTCTATGAGTTAAAAGGACAGTGGTGTTGCCTGTTGTGATAATATCATTGTGTAGTATTATTTATTATTAATCCCAAGAGATAGGTGGCCATCGATCATTTGGCACATATTTATAAATTTTGCTAACCTTTGCAATGTTTTAGTTATTGTGATATTTGTTCTTTAATTTACTAATTAAAAATATCGGGTAGTCCAAACTTCAGCCTTTGGGCACTCTTCATTTAGAACACCTACAGCTGACTGACTACTAATGAATCAGATATCCTTTACCTCTGTCAGAAATACTATTTGGCACATTAAGTTGACAGAGAAAAACTTCAAATTGATGTATTTAGAATTTACTGCAGGGTAAAAATCTCAAAATACAAGTTTAAGCGGTCTAGTACACATATTTAGTTTTGGTGAGACATTAATTGCTCTCAGTTATATTATTTTACCATATTTTTTCTGTTATTATGTTCAGCCACTCCATCACCTGGGGTGTTCTTGGGTGTCTGGGAAGTGCGTGTCCCTGGCACAGTGAAACTGAGTTGGAAAGATGCCAAAACATTTAAACCTCCAGACCTTAGAGTTGAATACACCATTCTGTACCATAGAGAAGGAGACCGCTCTAACAAGGTGAAATTCTAGTTTGCCAGTACATATAGCTGTGCCCCCTCCCCTCCCCCTCCCCTCCCCATGCAAAAAATTCCATGTTTTTTCATGTGAAGGAGTTGACATCATGTAACACAATTCGTGTTAGGTTTCTGTAGATGTTCGCTCCCTTCCAATTCTCTCCTGGGGGGAAGGTTGGGAAGGGTATGGCTTCACATGAACATTGTTACAGTACAGCTGTAATACTTTCTTTGAATTTAAATTATAAAATATAAATTTCTTAACATGACACTCTTCAAAGAGATGTTGCAGCATAACTTGTGCCATGACTAGTTTGTTGTCTTGTATTCAGCATTTACTTTGTTTTAACACTTCAAATTAAAATGACCTTTAACTTAAAAATTTAAAGCAGATGAAATTATGTCTGGAATAACAGTTACTGTACTGTTACAATAGTTGGACAAGACAGCTGCTTGCACAAGTGTAACATTTTTAAGGTTGATCTGCACAAGAATATAATAACTCCAAGGACAGTAATGTTGTGTTACATCTGTGCATTCAGCTAAGGTTTATTTGCTTTAATGGTCTTAATGGGGTAAACAATGTTGAGTGTAGAATCGAATTGAATGTCCTCGCGCTTCAGTAATCTTGAACATAGCATCAAAATTTTAGTTATGTTAATTGTAATATTTAATTATGATAAGTAACCATATACCCGATGAAAGGAAAACTAACACAAAAGATGGACTTCTGAAGGAGTGCTTTATGATCAAGTGTCGCAATGTCACATTGTAATCACGGTGGCCAATCAGAAGAAAGGATATTAAAAACCTTAAGAGCCGATCAAAACTCAAAGTGAAAACAACTGAACTGCCCGAAACACGGGAAAATGCGGCGTGGGCAACCAAGTCGTGATTGGTGTCAGTTTTGCATCTGATTGGTTGAAAGAATGGTACAACTTTTCTTAACCAATCATAGAGGGAAATAAAGCAAACGCAATGCAACTTCGGAGTACTTTCGACACTCAGTTGAACATTGCTCAAATCAAGGTACGTGTAGTTTAATTATATAAGCCCATGACTTGCAAGAAAAGAAAACAAGATCTCAGAGAAACATTTGAGGAACAATCATGAGTTTTCTTTTCCACATTCCCTGTTAAAATTTTGTTTGCTACTTTTTGTTATAGAGTAGGAGAGTGGAATCCTCAACAAATATTTTGATATCTGATTTGGTTGGATTATCCTGGTATCATTTCTACTTGATGATACGTTATGGACTAAAAAATTCATTCAGTTCCCACAGTAAAGCAGTTGAACGAAAATTCAGGACAACCATTTCAGGTAATCAGGGTGAAGCACACCCTAAGGGTTTACAGGTTATTGACACTGGTTAATTATAAGTGATTAAAACTTTGGTGAGCAAAAATTTGGTTTGTAAGCAGTAAGAAGTGGATCAAAACTTATCTTAATTTACTAGAATACTTTCAAGAACATGACAAAGATACCATTACTTACAGTGTTCCCCATTATAAATATATTATATATATATATATACATGTTCGGACGAAATTATGCAAGCCATTGTTTTTTTGAGCGTTACCGAATTTTTTGTTCTCTCGACCGAGTTTGAGGTCCGTTCTGTATGCTACAGACCAAGTTTTTCTTTTCGCTCGCATTTATACGAATGGAAAAACTGATGGTTCTGTAACTTCCAGTACGGACTGAAGAACAAGGTCAGTAAGATGATGTTTATATTCCTGGGTTCAAAGAGAGGGGGAGGATTTCAATAAAAAACAAAACAAACAAACAAACAAATGCATTTAGGGGGCACATACAGTAAAACTTGTCCAATCAGAGCGCACTTGCTAACTGAAAGATGCAGTAAATGCTAAGTACAATACATCTGCGTTCTTGACCTGGCGTGAGGACAAGATGGCTGGATATTGACCGAATTCTTTTTTTTTTTTTTTTTTTTTTCCCTTTTTATGGACCGAGACGAAGTCAAGGTTCATAAAACGTAAACAAAAACGAGGCTAATATCCAGCCATCTTGACCGAACAAGCTCAGTCAAAAATGGTTTTATTATAAAGCCAAAGATTTCACTTTTAATAAGAATCAATGATGACTAGTTTATTTTGAGAGACGGAAAAGGAAACCCATCACAATAAACCCTCGAGAGTCGTTTATGCTTTCTTTGTTTAGACTGACTTCTGCCGCTTTTTGTATCTTCATCGCCGACATCGTCCAACAGTCCGTTCCACTTTTTTCTTGCGTGGGATCAAAGCAGGCAAATCAGAGCGGGGCCCAGTCAGAACACAGGATTTGCTTCCTATTGTCCATGGGTGCTGCCAGCTATGTGATAAATACAACTAGTGGCAGCGATGCAAACAATTTCCTCGTCTTCTTTTTTTCCCCAACAAATCGGGACATGTACATACCTTTAGCAACGGAAAGCTTACACTAAATATCAATAGGCTCACTAAATTAACTTAAAATTGCGTGAAGCATCGAGATCTGACACTTTTTTTTTTTTTTTCACACACTTCAGCACCAAAGTCTCCGGTAATATTGAATTGCAGTTCCTGGAGTAAACAAAATTCTAATCCTACCTTGACGGTCTCCTGGACAGTGAGTTCTTTCTCTTTCTATTTATTTGAGCGTGAGTTATTGAGGGATTATTGGAAAAGAGCTTTTGTAGTGGGGATGCATTCTTTTAGCCATTCCATACAATTTTGAAGAATCAGTTAGCTTGCAAGGAAGTCCTCAAATTTCTGTTCGGGAAGATTCGTGACTAGTCGGGGAGACTTTATCAGGGGTTTGGCACTAATATTAGTGCTAGACCTCGCGCGGGCTTGTTTTGTTGAACCAGTCATACTTCCCCGCGGGAGAGCTAAAGTGCTAAGGTAAACTCAGGGATACATGAGCTCTGATTGGTAGAGAAGTACGTTTGTACTCGCCATGTTTACCTTAAGCGGTTGCAGCTTTAAGTGGTGTTCAAGTGAATTGTCTCTTGATTCTAGAATCCAGAGGCGGAGTATTTCAATGGCCCGTCGAGGAATGCTGTTATACTTTACCGTTGCCAGAGAGGAAACCAGTCTATCTCAGGAAATATAACTTCAAAGAACGGGAGCAGTCACAGAGCGGTCATTCATTTTCTGCCGAAGACGTTTGACAGATGCAGTGTGTGGATGAAACTGTGTAATGAACCGGGTCGGCTCTGCAGTGGTTTTAGCAAAATTTGCAGCACTGAGAGCAACGCAAAAGGTATATAAGCTTAGAATAAAGTGTTCACAACTCCAGGAACGAAGATGCACGCCTTGGATAAGCAAAAAGTCGCTTTCTCGAGGCCAATTGCTCGCACCAACGGAACTTGTAACCTTTTCCTCGGCATGAAGGGAATTCCTCCAGCATGAAGATCATGAAGTAGTTACTCAATTTATTTTCTTTTAATATTTTTTTTGTGGGAGCACAGTTTTCCGGTTCGTGGCGACAAGGAACTAGTTTTAATGATTTGGTATTCAAGTACAAGAAGACGCGCAGGAGAGGAAACATGACTGGTTGAGTTACAGCTAACTCAGAGAAAAACTTCACAGAACACTATTTTAAGCCGTGACCTGCGGTGTTCACCCAATAATCTGCCCGTTCATAATCTTGACGAAATTTTCTCTGGATGAGAAATGAAATTGACTGTTGAGTATTACGTTTTTTTTTTTTTTTATTATTTCATCCTGTATTCTTCCTTTACAGTAAGTTCTGTGTCGCCATCCAAAGCTGTTAAAAAAAGCCTCACTACAACGATACTGATCGCCGTCGCTGGAACAATAGGAGGGCTTCTCCTGGTGTTTGTTGTCTTTATGTGCTATAGGTGAGGTCGGCTGCTATGCATATT